CTTCTACTGAGTGCCCCGGGTCTTCTACTGAGTGCCCCGGGTCTTCTACTGAGTGCCCCGGGTCTTCTACTGAGTGCCCCAGGTCTTCTACTAAGTGCCCCGGGTCTTCTACTGAGTGTCCCAGGTCTTCTCCTGAGTGCCCCAGGACTTCTGCTGAGTGCCCCAGGACTTCTGCTGAGTGCCCCAGGACTTCTGCTGAGTGCCCCAGGTCTTCTACTGAAAGCTGCAGGTCTTTTACTGAGTGCTGCAGTTTTCTAACAAGTGCCCCAGGTCTTCTACTGAGTGCCCAAGGTCTTCTACTAAGTGCCCCAGGACTTCTACTGAGTGCCCCAGGTCTTCTACTGAGTGCCCAAGGTCTTCTACTAAGTGCCCCAGGACTTCTACTGAGTGCCCCAGGTCTTCTACTGAGTGCCCCAGATCTTCGATTGAGTGCCCCAGGTCCATAGCCAATAGAGAGCCTGCTATAGGCTATGGATTCCACCCACCGCCTGCTGTCAATCAGAAGGGAGGGGAACCTGATGAAACTAGATTGTCTCAGTTCCCCTTCAGGACCCGCCCACTCTTGGCTAAATATAAATGTAGTGGGTATACCAATGGACCAGGGTTGTGAAGAAGAGAGGGTCTTGTCAAAGGCTCCCCCCAAAATCATTGATTTCCTTTCCCCGGATCAGAGGAAGACATTTTTTCCCTTGAATGAGGTCCAGGTTGTCTTCTCCTCGTAGAGGTCACCTACATCTGTAGACATTGCTGAGCCACGTCTCTGTCCATTGAAGCTAAACTGGGACCGGAGAGAGGTGGTGTTGAGTCGAAGGTCCAACAACAAACAAAACTTTTTTTTCTGGAGAGGGATTGGACCCCCTGTCAGGCTTTTATTGCTGTCTGTGTCCCCGTTTTGGAGATTTCACCCTCCCTATGTGTCCTGGTGAATGTTATCACCGAGAGAGAATCCCAAATTTTGGGCTGTCACCAGAACAGGAACAGATGGGAGATCTTCCAGTGGGAACAGTAGTTCTGGTGACCCTTCTGACCACCAGTGATTTCCTCTCACTTCCTGTTGTGGTTATCAGACAGGAAGTGAAGTGTGATCTTTCCGATGGGACAGGGCAAAAAAACAAGCTGACCGGCGGTTATACCCCTCCCCCACTCTATCCAAATCTAAAAAAGTTTTAGCTTCAGTTCTACTCTAAGTTCTGTTTGAGCTTCCTGACCTCCCGGAATCCGTGTGGAGTGTCAACGCTCCGTGAGTAAGTGATGGCGGTACGAGGAACACGTGTAAGAGTTTTTCTTAGATTATAATTTGATTTACTCAATGGATGGGTTCAATAACCGGTTACAAAAGTGATCGCCCGAACAGGGACTTGAACCCTGGACCCTCAGATTAAAAGTCTGATGCTCTACCGACTGAGCTATCCGGGCTCTGGAGGTCTATGGCAAAAACACACCTTTTGTATATAGTATGTGGTTACTCTGAAGCTAA